TGTTTTTAAATATAAACTTAATCTAAACAAATGTTGATATTAAAATAAATATATAATAATAAATTCGTTACATTAGTTATTGTAACTGAACACAATCTACTTTTTAAAGTAATTTTATCTTTGAATTTGGACTTGATTCTCACAGTTCCAGATCATAGTTGAAAAAAAATATATAATATTACCGAAGAGAACTGAATGTTGTCATAAAATAAAATGTTTATTTTTCATATTTGGAGTGTTATAATGTTTAAAAATACGCCAAATTCAGTTTCAATGTCACAAGCCTTTAAATATTGTTCAGTGCATTTAGCTTAAAACTCAGGAAGTCCTGTAGCAAAGATAAACCACCTGCAGTAGTGATTCAGATGTTCATATTTTTTAAACATATTTAATATTGATAAAAATTACACTTGTTTAATCTATCCTTCTTTATTAGAATGTGTATGAATCAGTTCATATAAACAGGTTATAGTTCATTACTGATTTTAATATAATACATAAATACCATCAAAACGGTAGTTTGTATAGCCGAATCTAACGTAGTTTCCCTTGTAGTAATTACAAAGTAATTGTCCCTCGGTGAGTCAGCAGTAAGTGTACAGACTTACCAAACCAAAATCTGGGGTTCGATTCCCCGCGTTGGACAGAGTGCAGATAGCCCATTGTGTAGCTTTGCACTAAGAAAACACCAACTACAACCTAAGCAAAGAATAAAAGGAATAAAATGAAATAAAATGAAGATAAGTATATAGTTAAGAATTTTATGATGAGTGCATTTAACAATAGAAAAATAAAATAATGAAAGTTTGGTTCATATTTTTTAACCCTGGGTATCGATGCTAACTAGCGGCTGGACAAGTGATTAATATAAGTAATCATCAAATATCGTGAGCATTTTTTCAACATTCATCTAAATTGATCAAAAAATATTTTTATTACTACAGTATAACTTGTATTTAAATTCCTGTGGAACAAGGTGATACTTAAGGTAGCTAATGAAACGGATATTAATTTTTTTTACCTGTAAACTGAGCAGAAAAAAAGAATTCTTACAGTACTGTGCAAAAGTGTTAAGACAAAGTCAAAAATTAGATTTCAAAGAACAGTGGAAGGTAAATCAACATTATATTAATCTTCATATTTAGTACAACAGAAACTCAGTGAAAGTGCTTGAGTTCAGAAAATAGTTAATATTTTATGCGTCCCCTTTTGCTTTAATAACTGCAGACAGTCTTTCAGTCATTCTTGCAACATATTTAATCAAAGAGTCTTTTGGGATTTTACTCCAAATGTCTCTAATACACTCCCACAAAGTTTCATTGAAGTAACTTTTGATTTGTCAAGTTTTTGGTCTATCAAATCCCAGATCTGCTCAACTCGGTTGAGATCGGGGCTCTGTGGGGGCCATTACATCATTTGAATGACTTCAGCAGCTTCTTTCTTAGCTAAATAATTTCTGCATACATTGGATGAGTGTTTGTGGTCATTATCTTCTTGGTAGTAGAAAAATTTACTAATAATTCGCAAACCACTGGGTATACCATGATGGATCAGTATCTGATGGTACTTGCGCTGGTCCATTATTCCATCTATTTTTTCAAAAATTTCTCCTGTCGCCTCAGAAAAAAACACCCATCACACTGCCTCCCCCATACTTCATGGTAGGTGCTGTGCATTGAGATAAGAATCTTTCACCTTTCGTCCGCCGGACGTACAACCTACGCTTTGAACCAAATATTTCAAACTTGGACTCATCCGTTTGTAACACCATTGTCCAATCATTAACAGTCCAGTTTTTGTACTTTTTAGCAAATTTCAGTCTCTTGACAATATTTGGAGATCGAAATAAAAGTTTTTTAACTGCTACACGACCAAATATTCCATTCTCATTGAGTCTTCGTGATACTGTAGATCTGGACACATTTCTGTCATTTGGTACATGGTCGATTATCTCATGCTTGAGATCAGTAGCAGTCTTCCTTTTGTCCCGAAGGCTGCATAACGAACATTCTTAACATCACTATCATTGAATTTAAGTGTTCTGCCTCTTCCTTTCTTATTTTCAAATTTACTTGTCTCAGTCTCACGATCTATGGTGTACTTGACAGTGTTTGGGGAGCATTTGAGTCTGCAGCAATTTGTTGGAGAGTCCAACCAGCATCACGTATAGCTTTTATGCGAACTCTCTGCTCTACTGATAGTTATTTACGCTTTTTGGGCCGTGGCATGACAACAAAACTTAAGATGTAGTGTAAAACACTATTTTTATCAAGGTTTATTTGTGGAGTGCTACTAAATTGATTTTTCTAGCATATACCGGTACCATATGCTAGTTCCTTGCTAGCTTCTTTCTATATAGTTAAGACACTGCATGGGGTACCATGACACTTATTTCAGACCCTAAATTTGATCAGTATGTTCATTCAAGCAGAACCTTTATGACATACCCTTGGTACACGTATATGGGAATTCTACAGAATGATAAGTATTCTCACCCTGGATCATTCAGTTGTCAACAGGGATCAGTGAAGCATTATCATAGTGTTGAAATTTACATTACGTAATAACACGGAAGAATTAGCCCCATAAAATGTAAAGAATGACAAAATATTCTCTTGTCCTAATACTTTTGCACAGTACTGCGTTTAGTGAATATAAGAAAATGTGAAAAATCGGAAATAAAACCTTTTTTTTTCTCTTCTTTTCCTTACAATAATTTTAACCACTATTGTTTATTCAAATATTATCTTCTGCATTACTTTGTTTCTTAATGTTTTGTAATGTTGGTATGCGAAAACGTTGTTTTTGCCATGGATATTCACTTTTAAAAAGACAATTTATTGACGAAGAATAATGATTTTCCTTAAGATTAACTTCAGAATATTATAATATCTTATGTTATTGTATGCTCTCTTTGAAAGTCTTTGTATTTACTCTGAAACAAAATAATTTTAATTACCTAAAGTTTTATAACGTGGACACTAACGCCAAGAACTTTTATTGTTTGCCAGATAACACCGATGTCAGGTATTCCATTTATTCCGGAGATCCTGATGAATACTTTAATATTAGCCCAACTACAGGAGCCATCACCACTAGAAGAACACTTGATCATGAGATACATTCCGTTCTTCTGTTGAATGTCCAGGTAACAAGCGGTCAACCTCCATCTTATGATCACTCTCAGGTAATTTTTTAAACGTATAGTAGTTTACAATAATCTCAGTTTAGTCTTTTTTCTTCAATTCTATTTATGTACTCGTTTACATACAGGTTATTCATTAACATCAGTTAATTTCTAGGTTATTTCAGTTTATATTAATATGAATTATTCTTAGCAATTTCATTATAAGCCGGCCCGGCATGGCCAGGTGGCTAGGGCGCTCGACTCGCAACCTGAGGGTCGCGTGTTCGAATCCCCGTCACACCAAACATGCTCGCCCTTTCAGCCGTGGGGGCGTTATAATGTGACGGTCAATCCCACTATTCGTTGGTAAAAGAGCAGCCCAAGAGTTGGCGGTGGGTGGTGATGACTAGCTGCCTTCCCTCTAGTCTTACACTGCTAAATTAGGGACGGCTAGCACAGATAGCCCTTGTGTAGCTTTGCGCGAAATTCAAAACAAACATTATAAGTCATTTTCTTTACCAATTGATAAGTAGTTGTTAATATATACATATATATATATATATATATATATAGGTCTTAATTTAGTATTTAATAGGTAATTTTTATGCCAGCTCGTTTTTCCTTTTACTTCATTTTTGCAATCGTGTTAAACCAATGATATTATCATTGTTGTTAATGTTTATTTAGGTAGTTTTTGACACTCTTAATATCAATAAGAAAATTCAAAAAAGAAATATTTCTTTATTATTTAGGTGAATATTACCATCAGAGATGTGAATGATAATGCTCCCCAGTTCAAGAGTACATCTTTTAAGATTAGCGTTCCTGAAAACACTGATCTTAACATTCCTATATATGTAGCTCAGGCAGATGATCCGGACAGTGAGGCCAATGGTGAAATTCATTACAGTATAATCCAGAATTCGGATGACCTGTTCAGCATAGACAATAATATCGGTACTGTATCGCTACGGAAAAACCTCGACTACGAAATACAACGTCAATACATTCTGATGCTACGAGCAGTAGATTCTGGGGTGCCATCACTGAGTTCTACAATGACCCTTACAGTAGATGTACAAGATGTAAATGACAACATCCCTGAGTTTGAGAAGCCAGATTATCAAGTTAATATCCTGGAATCACTGCCCATCAATTCGCAGTTTCTGCAGGTCACTGCAACGGATAGAGACACTGGAAACAACGCTCGACTATCTTATAAACTCACCAGTGGAGATCAAGAAAAATTTGGCATATTTCCAAATAACGGATACCTTTATCTCAAAGATACTCTGGACAGAGAGGTTATTAATAGCTACACTCTCAGTGTCCTAGGGGTGGACAACGGTGATCCACCTCAATCTGCCAGTGCAACTGTGCTTGTTCGAGTCTTAGATGCCAACGACAATAGTCCACAGTTTGTGAAAAAGAAATTCCTGTTCACAGTGGAGGAAAACACGGAAAAGGGAAGACTTGTCGGAACTGTGGCCGCTCATGACAAGGATTTAGGGAATAATGCTTCCTTGCGCTACAGTTTATTGTCATCAAATTCCAGTTTTCAAATAAACCCAATCACAGGTTTGTTTACATTAACTTTAGTTTAACATACTGTTTTAATTTATTCACTCGCATACTTCACTAGTTTAAAATTCCAGTGGTTCATCATCGAGCAAATTCAGTTGAATACTATCATGTGTATTTGTATTATAACCTAAAATAGTGTTATTTACAAAATATTTTCATGTAATGGGAAACGTGGAAAGTATTTATGATTATAAATGCTATCTATGTGTAGACATATCTAGTGATTTTAAGTAGAATAACATTTGTTATTATGACCTGCTTTCTTACCTTTGCAAAGTAATACAAAGAAAACTAGAAGTGAGAAGAAGAAAAATTCATATCCACTTCTATTGGAAGCAAAAGCTGTTGTTAACTTTGAAGATGGTGATTCAGATGTGAATGAACTCATCCATTGCTTCCTTTACTAAAAGATGTTGTGAAGGTCATCTCGAGTACATTGTCTGATACTGCTCTTATTCTAATACTTCTGGTTATTTTTACCGCTGAAACATCTAAATTTCTGGCTACATTACAAAGAACAAGAAAGTATCGATTGATCCTCATCAATTTCGACCAACTTTGATAGCATATATGAAAAGTTATATCAAAATTATTTTCTTTTCTTCTTCTTTTTTGTGGTTTTGGAAGTCTGAAAGTTACAACATTCAAAAGTGAATCTCATAATGTGAACACTGATCACCACATTTTAGGGATTTGAGCATGCAGAGTTAAGTCGCGAAATCAAGGTAATTACTTATCAAGACATTTATTAATCATTCCAGGAACGCCAACCGATCAACCAAAAATCTCATGCCCTAACAAGAAAAATGAATAATTTTAGCTTTAAAACTATGAGCCCAAACTCAAACCATGAAAGTTCAAAAATGATAGACTACAAAATTAACGTTATATACTTAGCGTTTTTTGTTTTGTTTTTCGATACTGACAAATACAAAAACTGGTTTGTTAAAATTAAGTGCAACTTTCCAATTACTGAAGTTAATAATTGCATTATTATTCCTGTGCTAAACTTTTCCAGAATTAAATACCAACACTATTTTATTTAGAGTTATCCTTTAACACTGTGTACCGCAACAGGCATATTAAAGATAATATTTATATTTTCTCCAATCAGAAATCATGCTCCAAAAATAATTAATTAGATAAGTTCAAATCCAGCTTTCTTGAATATTTCATCAGTTAGTTTGGAAATATAAACAAGTTTTTGTCTAAAGAGTTTATTTGCCACTAACATATATCAACAAAAATGGTCAGATATTTAGAGACGGCACTTAGAATATCATGTTTTAACTTTAACTAGTTCTCTGCAAGTTCATACACAATTTTTAATTTTCCATATATTATTAAAAGAGAGATAACAAACAATTTAATGTTTGGTTATGTGTATTTTCTAGTAAATCGATCAATATTATAGATAGATAATGTTCATGACTTACGTTACAGTTCCAAATATGTTTTATATCGGATTACTTTTGTGCAAAGTTTAATCGTTTACTGAAATGGTCGGGCGAGTTCTAGTAGTTAATATGCCGAGAAGTGAATCACAGGATTCGTGGTTAGCGTTTCGTTCGAGCAAAAATGCCGAGCGTGCGCTATAAGAGTAATAGTCGAATCCCACTATTCCGTCAAACAATAGCAGTTCAATAATTGGCGGTAGGTGTTTTGACAATTTGCCTTCCCTTAAGTCTATCAGTTTAAAATCGGGAATTGCTATGCGCAAAAAGCCCTTGTGTACCTTTGCACGACAATTCTGAGTATTTTACACTCAAATGCACAACAGCTTCAAAATTCAACATTACAAGTTACTCAAGTCTTAAATCTACCCAGGTATGAAACACATCTATTCTAATCGAGCACAAACAGCGGCGATTTTAGATAATCTAACAAAGAATTGTCTATTTGTTCATTTACCTGAACAGCCCATTACGCACACAACGAGTTAAACAGCGAGGTCAGAGACCCTATGATTTAAACTAGCCGTCCTTAATTTGCAACTGCGAACTAGACAAAGATAACAGTCGGCAACCCCCCCCCCCCGTCTGAAATGGCTACTTTTAAATGAATAACAGGATTTACATTCGCTCTTATATTGGAGCCACAGCCAAGATTTCAAAGAGTGTTCGATAGCACCACGTTTCGAAACCAAGAACCTCGCATCCTCAGTTCGATACGCTGACAACCAGGCCACGCTCAGGCTCCGGCAAAAGAACGTAAACGTATTTATTTGTTTTCGGATAATCGCGCAAAGCTAGTGGAGGGCTGTCTTCGTTAACCGTTCCTAGTTTTGAACTGATAAACTAAAAGTGAAGATAGCTAGTCCACAGTACCCATCGCCAACTCTTGGGCTGCTCTTGTCTGACCGAATAGTGGGATTTGACCGTTGTCCTTATAACTCACCCACGATCACAAAGTGCAGAGTGCGATTTAGTTTTTATAGTAACTGACACGATTACCACTAGGTCACTCATGCACCAATTTATTCTTTCGAGCTCATGTTATCAGTTTCTCAAACTTTAATATTACAACATTTATGAAATTTAGCTAAGTGTAGAAAAGTCATGCCTCAAGCACAAGCAGGAAATGCGATTGCTTGGGCGTTACATGCCAAATAATTTAGATTATTTATGCTTTAGTCTAATACTATTGTCAATTTTCGCTTTCTTTGCATTCTTACTACCTTCATAATTTTTCAGCAAAATAAACTTTTAAGAATGAAAGTTACTACATAAGTGTATGAAAGTAATTTTTGATTAGGCTTCTTTATAGTGTCCGGTTATTGTTTTCTTAATAAAAAAAACTACTCAGTGGGCTATTTGCACTCTGTCGAATGATGAGATTCGAACGTCGGATTTTAGCATTGCAAGGCCGTGAATTTACCGCTGATTCACCTTACCGGAGGATGATAGTGTTCGAAGATAAAACATTTGTAACGCGAGTCATTATTTTCAAAAGCTATAATACAGCCATTATTTTCTAGTTTACACAGATTCAAGAAAAAGCATGGAATTCGTTTTATATATACATGTATATATATGAATAATTAATATGTGTGGTGTCATGCATTGGAAATCGGAGTTTTGAATTATGTGAAACTCCCTCTTTCTATTCTTTTTTCACTATCGAAATCTGTAGTGAAAACTTAAGTTTTCATGTGTCATATCAAGTATGAAGCTGTATTATAGTCGCAGAGTTTGGTAATCTAAAGCTTTTATTTACTTTTCTATTTCTAGGTGAAATTTTCACTAAACTAACATTAGACAGAGAAACCACATCCACTTACGAGCTTATTGCAGAGGTGCGCGACCAAGGATCACCATCACGATCAAACCGTGCAGTAGTGACAATTGAGGTTACAGATAAAAATGACAACGCACCAGTGTTTGTGGAACCTACAGATAAAGTGGTCGCCGTACGTGAAGAACAGCCAGTCGGGACTGAAGTGGCACAAATCCAAGCCACAGACGCCGACGAAGGAGAAAATGCTTCTATCACATATGTTGTTATTCCAGGTGAGTTTCTCAAGTGTACGACAAAATGTTAGTAGGATTAGTGAACTTACATGAGTCATGGTAGAAAATAGTTTAGACATTCAAATAGGACTCTCAGTATTCGTGAATTTCTCGAAAACTTAGCTTTGTGACCGATGTCAAACAATTTATTACATATGCTCTATCCAGTATAAGTGAAATATCTTTAGACTAGTCACTTTACACATACATACATATTCCAGTAGTTACGAACTTTAAATATTGTAATATAAAAATAATTTAACTGTAAAGAAATCAAGAGTTAAAATGAAATAAAATAGAAAACACACAAATTTGTTAGTGGCTAACTTCCTGGCAGCTTGGCCTCATTCAAAATAAATTTTAATGTTTCTTTGGCCAGTGTTTCTAAAGTCTCTTAGTACCTCTGATTATCGGTATCTGTTACTGGAACATAATCCAACAGGTTTCTAACTGACGTTAGCCTTTAATTTCCAGATCTTCTACTCGTAAAAGAGTAGATAAATCACGATTTAGAAGTGTATCTTTTCTTTAAAAAGTATTATTTCTTATTGTAAAAATGATTATATCTTCAAGATAGGATATATTCTATGTATTTTTGGTAGCTTGTTTTAGACTTAAAATGATCATTATTATAGACTTTCTGCTAATTTAGATATTTAAATATTTGTATATGAAATTAATGTCACATCATTACAGCGTAAAGAAACTCAAATCAAATTAACTATTATGAATTTAAGCACTCAAGAAAACCTGCGATTGTATCAACGACTTATAGTTCTGACATGCTGCTGGACAATTTTGAAGGCATTCTTTTTGGGATAACAAAGAGAAATGTTAGCCTATGGTTTTTGCGGGCAAAATGTTAATCTATACTCATATCTTTCAATTTGACTGTAGCTAGAAATGATCTTCTTTCGAGCTAAACAATAAGAAAGTAAGAAAAAAATATGATGCATGATGCTGACATATGTTGTTACATAATAATTGTTTAAGCGCAGTAACAATGCATTTTGAAATGAAATTTTTAATATCTTGTATTTTTTATAATATTATATTAGTGAATAACTTTTAATTCATAAATTCTAGTCGTTAGAAATTTGAAAAACACTTTTTCTTGCTCATTAGTTGTAAAATAGGTTTTAGGACTTTTCTACGGAAGCAAAGTATGGGTATAATTTCATTTTTAACAAACAATGAATGAACATGATCAGTCTATATCCATTGAAGACTCAGTAAAAAGATATCACATGAAGTATCTTCGATGATTTTTTCGATATTCTTCCTCCTTGACAATACTACTTTCTGTATGATTAAAATACCCTTTCTTAACTTAAATTTTAAATGAAATACTCTAGTTAAATCCGTACAAAGTAGTGAACCTTATTAATTACTGTTTAAATGCCGAATGTCGGCAAAATATTGGAAAATCAATAGGCTTAACAACTCTTATAAAAACGAGTTAACTACAGTTGTTTTTCTTCTCCACTTTGCTCTTAATTTGGTTTTCCAATATTTCGCCGGTTTTTGGTGTTAAAAACGTAACTGTTGAAGTATTGTATTGCATGTATAAATAGTATTTCACAGGATCTTTTGTCTTTCATCGTTTATCCCAGCTGATGAGTTCTGGTACTGTGGGAGAAGGCAATAAACATATGTGAAATGCTAATTTTTACACACCAGATTTTGAGCCGCAATGGACAAATTAAGAGGAGTGTGAAGAAGAAAAAACATATTTTTGTAAATTTATTATTACTTGACATAAACTATTTTATTTAATACTAAAATTTCGCTACTTTTGTGTAGCTTTACAATAGCTGACTTAAGTCTGTTACTAACATCATTCCAGCCTTATGTTTCTTTTTAGTTAAGATTCCCAGATATTTCAATATTCGCTATGGTGACGATGAAAGGAATTTATATCTATACTTCTATTGCAGGTTTTAACAGAATCGTATTTTTAGATTCGGGGTTTAATTGGTTAATTGATATGTTTTTATAATAAAAGCTCAAAAAAGAATGAAATCATTTTGTTTGACAATGTGCCACACTTAAGATTATGACTGTATAGATCGTAAACGTAAGCTTGAACTGAGGGACAATAAAAAAATAATACAGCGAAACATCAATAACAATGGATAAAAAACATATAAAATATAAATAAAATTGACACATTATGCCCGTGTGAAATTTCTGAAAAATCAGGCCGACTTCAGGTGAATTGAAGTAAAGGCTTTCATCTAACATCAAGTTGTTTTTACTTAATTAAGGACGAAAGAAAGGTTTATTTTAATATCAGGAAGTCAATTAAATTCAAAACATGGCATTGTGTTCGAATAAGCCTTTCTTTAAAATTAAATCTAAAATCATTTGATGAATGCGACACTATGACCCTTTTCATGCACTTTCTGTGGTATTGAAAAGATATGAAAGTAAGCGACAAAGAAAAACTGTTAAAGAAAACTTTTTTGTCAAACAAATCTCATAACAAATTGTTTCACTCTTGTCTCAAGGCAACCAAAAGTGGTAAGCTGAAAAATTAACAATACGCGAAGTGAAAATAACAGCAAAATACTTAGATTAAATTGTTGAAACAAAAGTACCAGAAAAGATGATAAAAATTAAAATACTTATATTGATATTATAGAATAGTCAGTGCCAGGTTTTATAAGGCTGGATTCTTTACAGTAAGTATCTGTGACTTGTTAACGATGAATTTGAACAATAAACGGACAGCACACAATCCACCTGTTTTCAAATAATATAATCAAAACCAGTCAAACGTAAGTACAAATATTATTCACACTACTGGTTATCACATTTTACAAATCACCCATTATGGCTAAATTGACACAAATTTAACTTCACTTTTACTTTCACTTTCACTAGCTTAACTTTGTACTTCCTCTCTGCATCTGCATGTATTTATAACACGCGACAGAAAAATATAGAAATATCTAGCTCTCTAGCAACAACAATATGAAACATAACTAAAAAGACTTAGAGGCTTCGAGTAAGATGACGTCAACAATATTACAAAAGCCTAGTACAACAATTAAACAACATAAACAATGTACGATTCGTACTGAGTTACGTAAAGAAATTGTCATAATTATCACTTTTAAAATAATTAACTTTTAACACTCTTGTCATGAACAATAGATAATCATTAAATATTAAATCGCTAAATAAACTAAATAATAACTCTTAAACTGAACAGTCTTGTATATCCAACAATAAGCCCATCTTCTAGGAGAATGTTTACAATATTTTCGTACTATATACAAAAACTATTCATGCATGTAATCATAAAGTCTGCATCACACTTTGCAGTTCCCTTGTTGGTCTCTTCGCATAGTCCATCTGACAAGGCTACAACTTGACAGGATCCCCTGTCTTAATCTTGATCTTGTTTGCATGTGGTCTGTCTTGCCTAATCTATCTATATACTGGCACAGTAGATCTTGTACATCTTTCTCCTGTTGGCCAGTCAGTTCTTCGTTGATGATGACATCTTTGTATGTCTCACCTCCACCCAGTGGTCTTAGGTCTAGTAGGTGTTCATCTTCTAAGACAAATTCACTGTCTTCTGGTTCTGCATCTATGACAGATACACCTACCATGTCCATCTGTGCCTCAATAGCTGCACCCGTTAGGTCTTCTTCCCTATCGTAGTAGAGCTTGGTCGTTCCGTCCACTTTCACCTTAAAATCCATTCTGTTGACCATTTCCTGCAAATGAAAAGGTCCTTTCTACTGTAGGTGGGGGTGAATTTGTTGTTGGCTGTAGGTAGCAGAACTAAGACCTGCTGTCCAACCTTGAAACGTCAATCCTTGGCAATCTTGTCATAAAAATGCTTGTGGCTGCCTTCGATGTGTTTAGCTTCCCCAGTAGAACCACTTTGATATATATATTGTATAGTAGTCCTATTCGGTCCTCTATTTTGTCCTCTTCCCTTTGGTTTTGTGCTCCACTTTCCCCCTGGCACTGTTCCAAAGTTTCTGCAGTGAAGGGTCTTTCTTCTGTGTTTCCTTCAGTTCCCGTAAACCTACATTTGGGATGTCGCCTTTTGAGACTTGCAGGGACTTGATGTCTTCCTTGCTTTTCTTTCATTGAGCTCTTGTAGTGAGTATAGATGCCTCATTGGTATTCCATGTAGTATGGAGTGTCCACCTTTATTCTTGCTATGAGAAACGTTCTCACTGTTCCATCAATTAAAACACACAGATGTACCTTGCCCGTCATCATGGAAACAGCACTTCCTTCTTGTGGTGAATCTGTCGGGTTGTCTCTATTCTGTTTCTTCTGGCAACAGTATCCATGGTGATAGTCACTCTTTTCTTGTTTCTTGCCAGCACCATTTTGTAGGTAGTTCCAGCTGCTTTATGTTGATATTTCTGCTGTTGCTTGTTGGCGACAGACTTGCACTCATTCGCAATGTGCCCATTTTATAACAAATATAGCACCTTCTCCCTTTTGTCCATTGAGTTATTGTCGCCTTTAACTGTTTATTTTTGGACTTGCCAATTATATTCCTTCCATAAGCTTCCATATACTATTCTGTCAGTTTGTTCATCTCATCCACGTTTTTTGGTGCTCTCTTCTTTAGGAACAGTGACATGTCAGTAGAGCACGTGATAATGAACTGTTCACGTACTAGTAGATCTGTCAGTCCTTCAAAACTATTTCCACACTTGACCATGTCAGTCCATCTTGTGAAGTATCGCCGTTGACATGCCACAAACAGAAATACAAAATAATCTATTGGACAATGCTATCTAGACGTACGTATATGTAGACAAAGACTGTTGTATATACCAATAGGCTACACGTTTGAAATCACTCTCAATGTGGTTGCATATAGGGTGAGAGAAATATTCAAACCAACATAATAAATTAGACTCTTTATTTAGAGACACTTCTATACAACAATTTTTACCTAACACTTGTAAAATTAAATACCCAACTATTAGATATTCTTGCAAAATGGTCATTGACAGTAG